ACCCCCTACCCCCAAATATAATCCACTCTGCAACCCTCATTGCATACTCCTACGATAAAAATAATGCCCTAAAATATAATACTTTTAGACTATTCTCTCCCCCATAGACTTCAATTCCTGCAACCATTTTTATCTGTAGGGAGTTCACTTCCTGTTATTAGATTTGTTCAAGTGAAGGAAAGCATCATAAAAAAAAATTAAAAATATCTAATTAGAAAAATGTATAATCTTCTCCCATTCTGGGCCATTCAGGTGCTGAGACAATTCAGAGGCTGTCAAAAACACTTAAGCGGGGAGCAAGCCTCTTAGTTGAAGAGGTGGCACTGACGGCCAGACAATTATAATTGTAGTTTTCTTTTCTTCTTTACAATTCTCCACTGAAGACATGTTAGAAAAATTGTATTTCTTGATACAACTTTGAGGGCTTGAACTCTTTAGGAAATAATTTTACATTGTCTCTTATTCTCTTTCTGACAGCTAATTTGTATCCTCAGAAACACTGTTTACTTAGAGAAGCCTGCTATAAAGTGATATATAAATTATGAAGTAGACATTTCCACAGTTTGCTTAAAGTGAGAAAACTCTCCAAGAGCAGAACTTTTAATTAAAGGTTTTCTTAGGCCTTTGAATCGTGGTGTTGGAAAAGAATTTTGAAGATATCATCAGCTGCCAAAAGAAAAAACAAATCGGTCTTGGAAGCACTACAGTAGCCACGATGCTCCTTAGACGTGGAGATGGCAAGCCTTTGTCTCACAGTGCAATGGACATGTTAATAGGAGGCATCAAACCCTAGAGAAAGCTTGGCTTGGAGAAGTGAGGGGTCAGTGCAGAAGAGGCAGACACTCAATGAGACAGATTGACACAGTGTCTGTAACAATTAAGATCTCTCTATATAGAGAGTTGTTGTTATTGTTGATTGCCATTGAGTCAAGCACCATTCGTAGTGACTCTATGAACAAAAGACCTAATGCCTTTCCATAGCTATCATCATTTCTCCAAGTTCATAGAGTTCCCAGAGGCATGTGGTTTAGGAAGTGAATGCTATTCCTGCTTCCAAACCTGTTTTACAACTGGGAGCTCCACCAAACACTGTCCATATTGGGAAACCATTTTGGCATTTGATACCCCAATGGCACAAGGTTCAGCATCACAGCAAACCCAGGTTACTTCACACAGCACATTGACAAAGATTAATATACAAAGTGGAAGAGTATTTCTCCAGATACAGCAGCACTAATCTCATTTAGCAGTGTTAAGTGTTGTCAAGTTGAATGCGACTCAGAGTAAGCTTTGCACAAAAGACCTGAAGTCTGTTCTATAACTAACATGAGGGGATGGGTCTGCAGGCCAGCAGGGGACCTGGAGCCTCCACTCTGGGAATTGGCTGCCAGCTAGTATCTTGTCGACAATCATGTCATTCAGGCTTGGGGAGGGGAGAGGAAATGAAATGAGTTTACCTGTGATACTGAGATATCTCTATCTCTCTATCTATCTATCTAATCTATATCTATATATATAAAGAGAAATATATACACACACGTGTGTGTGTGTATATATATATATATATACCTAACAACAGCAAGACTAAAATATATATAGTACCTAACAACAGCAAAAACTGAAAAGAAAAAAAAGTCTGCAATGTTTATAATTCTAGAACTTGAGTTTGATTTGTCCTCTTCCTCTGCTCTGTTCCTAATTTACAATCTTTTGGGGAACATAGTTGCAGAGTTCAGAGACTGGAGGACTTTGATTAGAATGGGGTCACCTACCCCAGGAAGTAAACTTTATGTATTTTCCTCTGCAATTGTCTCATAGTTTGAAACTATTATTCAGTCAAAATGTTCCCCTCATTGACATTATCTTTTAGAAAGCACATTTACTCCATTTGATACACCTGTAAGTCATCCACATGTCATTTCTCCAGAAACAGAAAAGCATACTAATTAACTTAAAATATTCCGCTCCTTCTACAATTCCCCTTTGCCGAGATATGAGTTTGCATTTAAACTTGTTCACTCGGTTTAATTGGAATTCATTTTAAATTAAGCAGCTTTGTATTTTTCCTTATCAGCTAAATGAAGATCATGATTTTGAGGCTGCTTAATTTGTGATGGAGAATTAAAAATATACACAGGGTTGACGAATACTGTCATCTTATCACATGTGAAGTGCTTGGCAGCAGCTCTTAGGAGCGGATGTTATATTTGAACCTATTTTTAGAGGAGACTGTTGGAATTATTAGTTAATAAGAACTCTATTGAGGAAGCAACTGTTTTGGTCTCGGCAGTTGCTCTTACCTGCAGAAGCCAAGATTTTTTTTCCCCTCAGTACTTGAAGAGCTTTGTAAAGTAGGGGGAATGTAGACATTCCCAGCCACCCCCCACCCCAGGCCTTCTTTCTGTGCTCTTACCAGTAAAGGTCGCTATGAATCAGAGCCTCCCTAGTGACCCCTAACACCGACAGCAGCCCAAGAAATCCAGGAATCCCTTGGTGGCACAAATGTCTAAGCACTCAGCTACTAACTGGAAAGATGTGAATTCTAAGCCACCCAGACTTGCCTGGGAATAAAGTCCTGGGGATTTGTTTCAGTCATCTTATGGCTGTGACACGGAAGGAACTGCCATTCATGTTAGGAAGCAAAATGTGCAAAAATTGTTGAGAGAGAAGCAAATTTCTCTGAAAATGAGCTCTGTAAATTTATACCCAAACCACAATTAAAGATAAAACAAAACAGAACAAGGACGTGTGTCACTGGGTCACACTCTGCACCGTGGGGTTTGCCACATTTGGAATCAACTCAGCGGCATCTGGTAAGAGCAGAGTTGGCAGTGTGAGACACGCTGGTGTCATCCCCAAGTTCTAAAGAGAATATCAATGTTTGAGCGAGTTTACCTCGGAGGAGACTTTATTTTCCCCTCATTAAGGGTAAATTCATTGGCCTTCGTGTTAGAATCAGAACCAAAGAGAGATATATTTACTAAGTCACAATCAAAACTAGTTCTTAGACTGGACTTGAGTTTTAGGTTGCATTTATCTTTTTTTCAATCTGGTGGCCTTGTGGTAAGAAGTGCTGCATCCCAAAGGCACATCCACCAGCTGCTCCGCTGGGAAAGGATGAGCAATCTCCTCCCGTGCGGTTTACTGCCTCTGAAAACACAGCAGAAGAGGGTCGGCTATGGTCGATTCCAACTCGATGGTACACAACAGCAACAACTCTTGATGCAAGCTATCTCTTGCCACACCGAGTGGCCACAATAACGGGCTTGAGCCTGGTGGAGATGGTGAAGCTGGAACAGGGTAGGGCAAGGTTTAAATCTGTTGTGCATAGGGTCATTGTGAGCCATAGTTAACTCAAAGACACACGGCAACAACCACCACCAATTCTGAACTGCATTTATTCCTTAGAACTGAGGGACAATATCCATTTACAGAATTCTGGATATGTGACTTATATCAAATTGGTACACAAATGGCTAACAGTATGTTTTGGATCATGATAGATATATGACTTTGTAAATATCACATGACTATATAAATGGCTAATAGTGTCTCTACAATTTCTAGAGCAAATTTATGGGGAATCTCTATTTGAGATGTGCTTTGGCTCTCAATTTTACCAGTGGTGAAACTGAGGCTCAAGTCCAAAGTGGATAAGTATAGGGCTGAATCTCAAGTTCAAACTTGAAAATACAAATTCAAACTTGAAAATACGAGTTCAAACTTGAAAATATAAGCTTTCTCCACCACAACACAGTATATGGTCCATCCACAGAGTTTTAAGTTACTTTATTCCTTGATTCATCAATCATTTTCCACACCTATATTGAGTAACTTTTTCTTAAACAGACAAAATGCTGACGCGAGGAGAGAGACTGGATGGGTTTGGGCTGTTGTTCAAGAAGATAATGGCAATCCTCATCAAGAGGTTCCACCACACCCGCAGGAACTGGAAAGGCCTCATTGCTCAGGTCATCCTGCCCATCGTCTTTGTGACTACTGCCATGGGCCTGGGCACACTGAGAGATGCCAGCAACAGTTACCCTGAGCTCCAGATCTCTCCGTCTCTTTACGGCACCACTGAGCAGACAGCCTTTTATGCGTGAGTTTCTTTCTTTAGCCAAATGATGTTTCCAAAATGCTTTTCGAGGTGTCCTTTTAGCTAACTGAATTCCCTAGAACATTAAAAAATAAATGTGGGACCCACAGTATCTGATTCTGTCAAATAAAATCCATTTCCTTTATTGCAATACATGTTTGCCCTCAACAAATAGATTTTTTTAGCTTTGGATTTTTTTAATTTTATATGTCTTTTATTATTATTATTTTTATTTTTAATGAAAATTTACAGAGACTTTAGATTTCCATTCATTCATTGTTGCACTTTCTCCCTGCCCTTCCCTCCGCTCCAGTTATTTTTATCTCTTTGAAAGGTAAAAGAAAAATTCTTTAGTTGTTATACAATCCCTCCCTGCAAATGCACTCCACTATACAGCCTTCATTCTGAACTCTTGTCATGACAATAATACCCAATCACACATCCCTTTTAAACAGTTGTCTCCCTCATCTGCTCCAATGCAGTGTACATTATTTATCCCATCTTTCTCAGTCTCCTCCCAACCTGGATGTCAGTCCCATAACAAATAGATTTTTAAGCATTTTGGAATTTCTTTGGGTTTTTTTAATGTTCTGCTTCAAATAATATCTTAATAGATATTTCTTTTTCATGACTAGACTTTGATCATGTTATGTTTTGACTTTCCAATCAGTTATGGAATTCATAGTCTTTTGTCCATCGCACAATTACTGAATAGTAATGGTGTTCAGTTTATGTACACATTAGATGAACATTCAACACGTATGACAGTAAGGGTAATAAGAGAGCCAATAGAGATAAATAGTTATTTTCCTCATACTTTTCTTCCCCTAATAGTAGCTTGGATTTTTAACCAAACAGTCCTGTAAATAGGATGTTTTATGTCTTTAATAATTTGTGGTCATGCATTTACTATTAAAAGAATCATTAAATTATTTTTCATATTTTTCTATTGCAGGAATTTTAATGCAAGCACAAAGCCACTGGTGTCAGCAATGTGGGCCTTTCCTGGTATTGACAATATATGCTTGAACAACAGTGATTTGTAAGTGGTTCTTACTACTTTTCTTTGCTGAACATCTCAGTTCAAGTGTGTGTGCAAGAGCTCGTATGTGTGTGTGTGTGTGTGTGTAAAGGAGGATAGTTGTGATTGTTAGATGCCATCAAGTCAGCTCCCACTCACAGTGACCCTGTGTACAACAACGAAACCCTGTTCAATCCTGTTCCATTCTCATAATCTCTGCTGTATATAAGCCAATGTCTGCAGTTTCTGCACCAACCCATCTCCTTGAGGGTCTTCCTTGATTCCCTGTTCCTCCATTCTTCCAAGCCTGATGCCCTTCAGAAACTGACCCCTCCTGAGAACATGCCTAGTGCATAATGGAAATCTGTGTTGAATAGAGTCTGCATATCTCTTTTCATCAAATCCAATCAATTTTCTGGTATTGTGTACTAGTAGCATAATAACCATCAGATGCATGATAGTGTACACATATTTTCACATAAAAATCATGGCAGTCTTTTCAGTTTTTAATCCCATTTTACAAAGAAGCTTCATTTCAAAGAGACCAACTCATTTGTGTAAAGAAATCTAGGTTGTATATTGTATATTTTATAGGTAAACCTGAGACCCAGATCTACTGCCTTGACTCTAAATCCATTGTGGGGGGTTTTTTTTATTCTAAAGTGCTGCTAATTCAAGCTACCACGGTAGTGCATAGCTTATGTAACCCTGACATTAGTGCATTATTATGCTAAAATATTACTTCCCAGTCAGAGGTAAGGATGAAAAGAACAAAAAGAATAAGGAGCCAGAAAGTCCTATCCTGTCACATTAAGATAATTCAAAGAACTCTGGTCTTAATACTGTTTAATCAGTAAGTGGTCTTCCTCAATCACCTACTGCAAAATGTTAAATTACTTGGAAATGCAAATGCAATATATAGTCAGGTAGTGAAAAATCAGTAAAACCATAGCCTGAGTTTCTTACCAAGTACTTGCTTATATGTCCATACGTAAACATGAGAACACACTCACACCCCTAATTGTAATTTTATTTTGTTTGTTTGCAGAAGATGTTTAAAGCAAGGCACCATTCTAAAATGGAACACCAGTAAAGAACCTAGTACTGACTTTAATGTCTGTACCTGCTCCCACAATGTCCAGGTGAGACAGAATTAGCTCCAGGGATTGAGAAAAAGGAGGAATAAACACTGAAAGCAGGAAGATCTATCTAGGTTACCAAAGAGTCAGTATCATTTCACTCCACACAAGTGCAGAGCTCAGAGACAGAGACCTAAGCAGCTCAAAAATATTGACTTTGAACTTCAGGTCACTGTTTTAAATTCCTCTCAGTACAAATTTCCAAATGTAGGTAATTCTACCATTGTGAAAACCACTTGAAAATATACTTTTGATCTTAGTTGAGTTCTAACTGGGAAGCTTTTTGTTTGGCTACAAAATGCCCCCGTAATTGTCATAAATGCAAATACAATGTGGCTGCCACAGCCGCAGTCAGCTGGGAAGTTAATAATGTGCAAATCTAGAACACATTCTGTGTCTGAGCTACAAATTCAGCCTGCAAGAATAGTCTATATCGGGAAAGAATTATAAATAATTACCCAGTCATCTTTTATCTTGTATTCTACGGATCCACACCATGGTTTTCTAGATAATTCACCAAACCACAAATCCACTGGGGAAAGGAAAGATTGTTGGAGAAACGAAGTTACCATTAGCTCTAGAGAGTCATCATAATGTCAGCTTCGCTTTTCAGTAGGGGAAGAATCGAGAGTTGGTTTCCTGGGGGTGATGGGGCAGTTTTACCTTGTTCCATGGGGTAGCAGTGAGCTGGAGTGAATTCTACAGCAGTGGGTTACTCGCTCCCCTTTAATCTAAATGATGGGATTTTTAATCATTGTTTAATGCTGTTTTCCAAATATATCAAGCTTTGTCAGCACAGTGAAAGTCATCTCAAACATTAGTTAACCTGCATTCTTTTGTTGCCTATACGTGGATTCTAAATGCAGGCTTATACTCCACGTTAGTGATAGTTGTCGGTTCGCAGTTCTTGGCAACATGACTTCTTCTGCAAAACTCTTGATACAGAGGACAGTTTTATCACACTTCACCAACTGTAGGAACAGACAAGTCTGGAGTCCAAAATTCCTAGTTGTAATTGTTTGATTTGAGCTGCTTTTTCCAGAAAGAGTTTACTTTCTTTTTCAGAAATGTCCTGAAACCAGCTATTACCCACCTCATAGAAGAACATTTTCTTCCCAAATGATTTATGACCTCAGTGGACATCCTGTAGAAAATTATCTTATATCGACTGCCAATGAGTTTACCCAAAAAAGGTATTCTGTTTATAACATATTTAATTGTTTCCTGCTTTCAAATTCTCATTGTCTTCTGAAATGGAGACAGTATAGAAAGTAGATGGAAATATCTACTGAAATGGTTAAATCCTCGGTTTCATTTAAACTTGTTAGTAGCTTAGTCATTATGCTACTTCAAGGATTACTTGAACAAATGGAAAAACTGCTGGCTGGGGTTTTGGGTTTATGCACGGGAGGTGGGGGCTTTGCATATGTTGTTTTCTTAAAGCAAAAGGCCAATTGACTGGATTTTACTGACTCAGAGAGTTTTAAGCTATAGTATTTTATGACAATTAGTCTTAATTCTGAGAGTAATTGCTGTACTGAGCTAACCTGGGTTTGATGTGATGCTAAGCTTTGTGCCACTGGGGTGAAAATGCTATAACGGTTACCCATAGTGGACAGTGTTTGGTGGAGCTCCCAGTTTAAGACACGATTTGAAGCAGGAGTGGCATCCACTTCCTAAACCACATGCCTCTGGAAACTATGAACTTTGAGAAATTATGATAATTATAGAAAGGATTCAGGCCTTTTGTTCATAGGGTAGCTATGAGTCGTGCTCAACTCCACAGCAATCAACAGTGACAACAACAATTGCTTGAATTGTGACATTGCTTGTGTATAAAATGTATACACATGTGGTAAGGCCACAGGTGGGTGCCTAAGCCACTTAATTATTTCCCACAGATGTAAGGTTGCGAGGGTTCTCAAGAGCTAGCATTTCCTCTTGCCCTCTCTCTTTCCTCCTCCTTTTTCCAGTACACATAAATGGTTAATGTTCACTCTAAAAATAATTAGAAAATACTATATATATATAAGTATATATATGTATATGTGTATATATATGTGTGTGTGTGTGTGTATATATATATATATATATATATGAAGAAGCTCTGTAGTGTGTTGTGTTGTAAACTCAAAGACTGCACACCTTATGAGGTTTGAATCCACCACTAGCTCCACAGGAGAATGATGAGAAGTCTCCTGCAGTTAAAACTGACAACCTTGCAAGTCCAAAGGAGGGTTGCCATGGGTTGGAATTGACTCCACGGCAGTGAACTTGAGACACCCATGTATACCTACTACTGGTACTTTAGTGTACATCCTTCCAAACATTTTCTAGCCACAGACGTACTAGAAATTTTTTTTTTTTTATGAAAACAGGTTCATTAATGTCAGAAGTTCAAAAATCTGACTCATTAGCAAGTGAGTGATATCCTATAGTGTTCTCTGCATCTCAAAATTGCAGCTTTATGTCATCGCATTTGGGGGAAAGATCACTTCACATAGAGTGAAAAGATGATTCTAGTGTGACTGTGTTCAACCAGACCTCACTTGGTGGACATTTGACTAATCTGATTGTGCAGTGGTTAAGCTCTGATGACTTACCACAAAGTTGGCAGTTCAAACTTACCCAGTCACTCCATGAACCCAATGACATTCTTTTGTGCTATTTAGATTTCTTATTTTTATTTTAAATTTATTTTAATGAACGTTTACAGAGACTTTGGATTTCCATTCATTCATTGTTGTACTTTTCCCCCTTCCCAACCTTCCCCTCAATTTGCCTTTCTCTTTGAAAAGTAAAAGAAAAAAAATCTTTCATTGTTATTCAATCCCTCCCCCCAAGTCCACTCCACTAGCAGCCTTCATTCTGGACTCCTGTCAGAACAACAGTATCTAATCATATATCCTTTGAATCAAGGTTTTGCTTTTAATGAGACTGTGAGCACAGGATCGTTAGAGAGACTTAATAGCAAGCATTCAAGGAGAGAAAAGAAAAGGTGCCAGAGGACGAGCTTCACCTACTGCTGCTGGGTGGGTTCCAACTTACAGTGACTCTCTGTGGGGTTTCCAAAGCTGTACATCTTAATGGGAGGAGAGTATCTATCTTTCTCCCGTAGAATAACTGGCAAACTCAAGCCCAGTCTTTTGGTTAGTTACATGAGGCACTGTGCCACCAGAGCTCTTTAGGGAATAAGATAAGGCAAGTAACTTGAGGAATAGATGAAATGGAGCTACTTGAAAAGAATAGGAGCTGATGTTAGATGCAACGTCCTCCAAGGAGATGGACTGAGGTGGTGACTGCAGCAGTCGGGGTAAATGTGTCAGAGATGATGCGGATGGCACAGGACAGGATACGGTTCAGGATGATTGTTTACTGGGTGGCTGTGAGTCATACCCAACTCAACAGCACCCAAAATGACAACATCAAGAAAGGTCAATTAAGGGACTAAAATCTTAATATTTTTGTAATATGGTTCATCTACCAGTTAAGGTAAAAGAAATTAGATGTGACTCTCTTTCAGTACTCTACATCTGCTATTTGGGGGAGGATTCCCCCCCCCATCGTATTTATATTATACATTTTAGAGTGAAATCTGATAAAGAGAGTTAATAAAAATGTAAAATATTTGGCAGACTGTATTCAGTTAATACAATAAATATACTGGTAAAGGAAAGAAGAAAAAGTGGGTTCCTAGTCAAGTACTTTCAATCTCTTTAGAAACATTTTCTCCTTTAAAGCTAATAAGAATTTTCCTGTTCTATGTAGATATGGAGGTTGGAGTTTTGGGCTGCCTTTGACTAATGATCTTCGTTTTGATATAACAGAAGTCCCTGCCAATAGAACACTTGCAAAGGTAATTGATGATCTTTCTTCTGGGATGGTATACAAACAAAAATGTGAAACTGATAGGTTCTGTAAACAAAGTGTGAAACTGATAGGTGCCGTAGAAACAAAGCCTAGGTACAATCAAGCTGAGAAGCAGCTTGACAGTATTGAAGACCCATATACCTTTCACAGAGTGCTTCACTTGTGTCTCTATACCCGAGGGAAGCCTCACACACTGCACCAGAACATATGTTCTAAAACATTTGTAGCATTATTTCTCATAATGCTTGGGAACACGATTTCAACTTTTCATATATTGGAAAATAAATATGTCACTTGTTGCATATTTATTGAATGGTACTTTCAGCACTGGAAAGGAACCAACTCTATACAGTAAGCAGACTAAATCTAAAAATATTGATTTGGAAATGAACCACTTTTTATAATGATTATGAAAGTTTGATGGTGTGTATGATAAGCTAAAAGTCGACGACAGCTCCTCCACCAGATTCCTAAGAGTGGAGGGAAGAAAGAGTGATTTAGACTCAGATGGTCAGGAGGGAAACGTCTTCAAGGATTGAAAAGATTTACATTACTATGTGTCTCACCCAAGTTAATGTATGTGCTTCCTTTATACTTCTTTCAAAACTATACATTTATGCTGTGTGTATTTTTCCCCCTTCTTTATGTATCATAATTTTTTTAGGGACTGACCGTGTATGTGCTTAATCTTGAAATCCATGGAGAATCCACTGAGTTTCATGGAGATAAATGATCCTGTTGACGGTTTCTCTTCTAGACCTGGCTTAGGCTTTGAAACAAGCTAGAGTCACAGCATCTAACACATGGCTAGTCATATGATCAGTAGCAGTCTTAAGAATTTTAATTTGGCCCTCAGATATGTTTTCATTTGATAGAGACACGTACAAGTAGAGAAGAAATAGAGAAACTAAAAGTAGTTGAATGATTATTATATGCCAACCTAAGGATAACAGTAAGATCATCTTACACTCAAACTACCTAATTTCATCCTCATAGTATCCTTATGAGATAGAAATTGGATCATTTCAGCTAATTTTTACAAGGTCATACAGAAAGCAAATAGTGCAAGCTATTTGAATATCTTCTTTTGGTTTATTTCCTTCCCCCTTCACACACAGAGTAAATATTATTTATAAACAAGGGTTTATAAAGATTCTGCAAATCAAATTTGCAATTTAAAATTGCTAATGATGTGGGGTTTTTTTTAATAAGATACACTATTATTTTAAATCCTTCTGTTTTTTACATAGAAGAGAAGGTCTTTGAAGTTAATAACCAGGAAACCTAGTAGGGGAATTTCTAGGTTTTTTAGTAGATTCTAGGATACTGTGTGTGTGTGTGTGTGTGTGTGTGTGTGTATTCTCCATGCCACCCCCGCCACCCCTCACTGTGGTTTGATCTGTACCACTTTGTTTTCTTATTAGTATTGAGTATCAGAAAACCTTATGTTTAGTCCCAGAATTATTATAAACCAAACACAGAAATGGAGACAATGATTTCTCTAGTATGTCTTACATTTTGTCTAGGGGAAAGAATTAGAATGACCAATAACTTATCAGATAGATAAACAATCATCTCTCAGCTGGAAACATGAAGGCTTGTATTCAGTACTCTGGTGGGTGGTCTATTATTTTCCAAGATTAAGTGAGTTATTAATAATTGGTACTCTTATTTTACACACACTCACAGTAGGATGTAAGATGTAAAAGGAGCCCATAGTAATTTCAACCCAGTTGTCTTGATTGTCCTTGGCACTTGACAGGTATGGTATGATCCAGAAGGCTATCACTCCCTTCCAGCTTATCTCAACAGTTTTAACAATTTCCTCCTGAGAGTGAACATGTCAAGATATGATGCTGCTAGACATGGTAAGTTTACTTACGCTTCTTGTATTCAAGTTTTCTACTTGCTGCAAAGAAATGCGCATCATTAGATAGTGTCCTTCCTAATGGTATTTTATGGCTCCTAACTTGCGAGATTTTAGGCGGTGTGTGGAAGGAGTAACTACCACAGTGCACATTCTAGGTAATACTTTTGCCTTCAGGTGAATTTAGTATCTTCATTTATCAAGTCAGGGTAACAATGCTGACTTTGTGTTCATGCTGGCTTCCACATATAGAGGTTATATCTCGTAGGAAAACAGTTGATAACTGCTTATTTGTATACAGGTTAAAAAAATGTAAAGAATAGTCTTAGTAAGTGTTCACACAAATATTAGCACAAAGATTTTAAACTAAGAGGTTCCATACCTGGCCCAAAGTATTCCCATTTTTGAATACTTTTCCTATAGCACCTACTTTATAAGAGTTATTGCTAATCCTCACAGCTCTCCTTTAATGTTGCTGTGTGCCACTGAGTCAGAACTGCCTCACAGCTGACCCTCCAGACGATTTTAAGAAGCCGTCCAAGGCGGAGGAAGAGACCGACTCTTCCCCTTCCTTCTGTGGAGGTGCTAGGAGATTGGAACTGTGCATCTTTGGGTTGGTAGCACCACTCCTTACCACGAGGCTACTGGAGCTCTGTACTCCAGATGGCATTCATTCATTCTCTCCTCCTGATCCTTAAAATATTAATAATAAAGAGAAAACACTGTTGCTGGCTAATGCTGAGGGTCCAGCCTAGTGAATAAGACTCTTGAAAGAGGCAAAGACACAATTCCTCGTTCAGCAATAGCCATGTCAGCTTTCCTTTCCTCTTTCAGCTGGGCGTAATTGTGTGTGCCAGATGTGGTGGTGACTGGAGATGTAAACTGGAACAATAGAATCTTATGGAGTCTTCTTTTCAGAGAAGACAGTATTTCCCCCAACTACTTTGGTATTTTATTAGCAGGCAGAATAAAGAAGAACAGAAACAGATTGAAAGTCGTTAGATCTAGAGCATCAAGTAAGAGTATAGTCAAAAGTGGTAAACTAAATGAAATGGTGACTTAAGACAAGTGAGTCCACGTAACCTGGTGTGAAAAGCTATTGGACACCTAGCTTTGTGTAGAATGTCTTATTCAGAGCTAGGAGGCTATTTGTTGCTCTGACAGGTAATGAAGGTTAGAAACTACAGAAATATTGAGAGAGAAATGCAGCAAATGTGAGCTGCTGAGAATCAGAGATTCATAGCACTGTCGAGGGGTGTCAGCTTTTGAAAGCCTTTATTATTCTTTATTCTTAGTTCTGTTTAATCTAGACCAAGGGCACTGGAATCACTCTGGTCTCCAGTAGGCTTGCTGTACCTTACAACTGTAATATTTAAGTTGAAGAGTATAAAGAATTAAGAATTCTAGAAAATAAACTATGTATTAAACCTATCAAGGGAAAAAATATCTTTATTTCAAAACCAAGCTTAGATGTCTTAGAACTGACCACAGCTCATAGTCACAGTATGGACGATGGACCAAACCTTGCCCCGTCCTCACAATCTCCTCCGTGCTCACGCCCATTGCTGTGGTCAGTGCGTCAGTCCTTTTTGTTGGGGACCTTCCCCTTTCTGCTGACCCTCAACTCTCCCAAGCACGATGTCTTCCCCCCCAAATTGGTGGCATCGTCTGATAACACATCCAAAGTATGTGAAATAACACATCCAAAGTATGTGAAATGAAGTTTCACCATCTTTGCCGACTTTTCTTCTTTCTTAAATTTTTCTTATACTGACATGCTGTTGGAAGCTTTCTACCCTCTGGAAGCAGTTGAATTTCTTTCAGAGAAGCAAATTGTGTCATTTTCATTCTCTTGTAATGCATGCATGAACTCTGCCCTGGTGATATTATTTGTCTTTAAAAATCAATCCCTTTCTACCACAATAAAATGGAAAATTAAAATAATCAATCCAATTACTCCCTTTCCACCTCTCCCATCTACTTGCACAGTTAAGGCCATTTTGTTATATACTGCATGAACTGAGATTTTTACTTTAGCTGTAAAATTGATTTTCTTTTCATTTTTAACATGCTAATAAAAATCTTTTAATTAGCTTTGTTTTGCAGTGTCAATATCTATTATATTCATGTGGTTCCCTCTAGTGGTTAATTTAATATGAAAATTCTGGTTTTTCTTTCCCAAGACTGTAAGTTGGCTTGTTTTTCCTAACATACATTGTATATGTAGACCCTTCATACTTAAATATTTATGTATCTCTTAAAATATGGGCACATTTCCCTACCCATCCTAGTGTTTATTCTTTCTTTTGGTTGCATTAGCTCAGCGATGATCAATACAAAAGAGAGAATCTCATTGTATATTTAAAACTGTAAAGACAATAGCAATTGCCTTTAAAAAGCTATATTATATGTAGAAGAAATATTAAGATTACATGCAATTTAATACACATGTTTCACCAATTAGTCTACTTGAGATATTATTCTGGCTGTTGCAGAAACCAGAGAAGATTATGAGCTAGGTCTCAAACCTTGACATTTTTACTTGATCTTTCAGCGAAAGATATGTTAAGAAAACAACTCGATAATTATCATGGTTCAGCAGCATTTTACATAGAGGAGTCAAATATATTTGCAAAGATTCCTCTGGTGAAATAAGAGTATTTCTTGATTCTGAAATGCAAGGGGGAAATAAAAAAGAAATGTTTTCCTTGCCTATATTATAATTCAGCAATGGGGCTTAAGTGGGGCCCTAAGGAAAATTAAATTACAGCAAAAAAGAGGACTCACTAATCCACATAAAAGATAAAAAGCACATCCCCCAATGATGTGATTAGAATCACTGGCCAAATTAATTACTATGATTGTGGTTAATGTTTTAGACTGTATATTTCTTTGCTGCAACAGTTACAGAATCCAATCTCAAAATATGTCACATTTTACTTAGCAAGTGCTACAAATTTCAGTTGCTAGAAAGAATAAACCACAGGATAATCAGCCGAAATAAGCAGTATTCTATTATTATTATATACGTTGTTGTTATTGTTATGTGCCATCAAATCACTTAAGACACATAGCGACTCTATGTACAACAGCCCTAATACCTGTTCTATCCTGCGCCATTCTCACTGTCTCCAACACACCTACCACCATAACCCCAGTCATTGAATCAATACATCTTATAGATGGTCTTCCTCCCCTCCGCTCTCCCTTCACCCTTCCAAGTATGATGTCCCTCTCCAAGGACTGGTCCCTCCTTCAAACATGTCCAACGTATGTCAGATGAAGCTTCAGAATTCTTGCCTCCAAGGAGAAGGCTGGTTTAACCCTCTCTAGGATGAACCTGTTTGTTCTCTTAGCAGTCCATGGCATATTCAATAGTCTTCTCCAAAACCACACCTCAAAGGTATCAATTCTCCTTCTATTAATCTTTGTCATATATAATACTATACATCTCTCTATATCTATCTATATATCTATCTATCTATCTAGATCTATTAGTTCTATTATGCACAGAGTCTCTGTGAGTTGCACCATCTCTATGAGATAGCATCTGACAACCACCACCAATAATATATGGATTCTCTGAAGTATGAATTTATACTATTTAAGCAGCAAGTGAGATATTTTCCTCTCAACTCTACAAGAATAAGTTATTAAGGGATGTCTTTACTCCCACACTCTACTTTTGTTTTCTAGCTATTCAGATGGTGTAGACTTTTCACTTATCCGGCAGTCCCTATAAGAAACTGTTGCCAGCCCAATTTGACTGAGTAATCCAAGTCTTCTAAGAGAAAGGAAAGGTCTTAGTTTTGTTATCTCAGAGAGTGTGATTATTTTTGAGAGATTCCAATGGTTTGGGATGTTACTAGAACTGAAAAAAAAACAACCAAAACCCAAACAACCAGTTTGTTTTTTTCTGGAGCCAGTCTGAGCCTCTCTTTCCTCCTAGACCAGACTATTTAGTCCCATTGAGACTCTTGTAAGGGTGACTGAAGTTCCGATATGCTACTGTAGGAGGCCCTTACAATAGGCATCTTAGAAATGGTCAACAAGGAATAGTCTTCCCAGGCTACAGTATTTCTCCACCATGAACAATGGCACAGTAAGGACAAGTGGGACAGTAAATGTCAGTTTTCTAGTACCAATTCCAATTGCTATCAAGTCATTCCCAACTCATGAAGACTCCTAGTGCATCAGAGTAGAACTGTGTGTCACACAGTTTTCAATGGCTGACTTCTTGGAGTGTAATGTGAGCACTTTCTTTTTTGGCACTTCTGGGCGACCCCTTACCTCCAGTCTTTCATTTAGTAACCCAGTATGCTAAGCTTTTGCATCCACAAGGAAACGCTGAAATAACTAGTTCCCCTCTGTGTTGTTTATTTAAGCATCAAACATTTCTGAACTGTTACTTAAATACAATCACAATTTCCAGATATAATTTATCTATTGCACATATACCTAAATGTTATGATCCACACAGTCAAATGCCTTTGCATAATCAATGAAACACAGATAGAAATTCCTCTGGTATTCCCTGCTTTCAGCTAAGATCCATCTAACATCAGCTACAATATCCCTAGTACCACGACCCCTTCTAAACCCAGCCTGGACTTCCGGCAGTTCTCTGCTGATGTGCTGTTCTTGGATAATCTTCAGTAGACTCTTGCTTGCATGTGAAATTAATGATATTATTCTATAGTTTCCACACTCTGTTGGGTCACCCTTCTTTGGGACGGGAACAAATATATATATGTCTCTTCCAGTCAGTTTGCCAAGTGGTTGTTCTCCAGATTTCTTGGCACAACTTGGTGAGCACATCCAGGGCAGCGTCTGTTAGCTGAAATATCTCAATTGGAATACCATCTATTCCTGGAGCCTTATTTTTTGCCATTTCCTTCAAAGCAGCCTGAACTTCTTCTTTCATCACCATAGGCTCTTTCTCATATGTGGTTTCATGAAATTCTTCTGTATCTGCCAATTCCTTTTGATACAGTGACTCAGTATATTCTTTTAATACTTCCTAGATCATTCAATATTCTGCCCAAAGCATCCTTGATGCTTTGATTATAGCAACTTGAGGTTTGAATTTGTTCTTCAGTTCCTTGAGCTTAAGAAATGCTGAGCGAGTTTGGCCGTTTTGATTTTCTGACTTCAATTCCTTGCACATTTCATTGTAGTATTTTACTTTGTCATCCCGTGCTGCCTTTTGAAATCTTCTATTCAACTCTTTAGTATCTTGAATTCTTCCTTGTGCTTTGGCTTCTCTTCACTCCAGTGCATTTTTCAGAGTTTCTTCTGAAAGAAGAATTTGTGTTTTAAAAGACATATTACCATGAGAAAGTCTGCTGTTAGGGACCTCTCCAAAGTACTGAAGAGCAAAAAGATGCGTCTGATACAGACCATGGTCTTTGCGATCACTTGTTATACATCAGAGAGTTGGACAATGACTAAGGAGGATAGAAGGAGAATTGATGCCTTTGAGCTTTGGTGCTGGAGAAGAGTATTGAGGGTACCATGGACTGCTAGAAAAACAAACAGATTCATCCTGGAAAGGGTTAAACCGGGCAGCTCCTTGGAGGCGAGGATTCTGAGACTCCGTCTAACATACTTCGGACATTTTTTAAGGAAGGACCGGTCCTTGGAGAGGGACATCATGCTTGGGAGGGTGGGGGGACAGTGCAGGAGGGGACGGCCCCCTATGAGGTGGATTGATTCAGTGACTGGATTAATCGGGATGGGTGTGTCGGAGACAGTGCAATTGGCACAGGATAGAGAAGCATTTAGGGCTGTTGTACACAGGGTCGCTATGAGTAGCAAGTGACTCAACGGCACATAACAACAACAACAATACCTAGATGCTATAAGGAAAAGGAATGTGATATAAGAAATGTACATTTTTCACTTTTCCCTAAAGATTCCACACAAATGGGGAAATGCATTTTTTTCTTTTTCTGTCAGTATCTATTCTTATGGTGTTGAAAGGAATTAGGAAAAAGAGTAGTTTGAACCTTAGTCACTCTCAAACGTTCCAAAGTAGACTTCTTGAGATCATAGCACAAGGAAGGCAGTATTTATGTATATAACTTAAAAAGTGGTGTTTCTGGTTAACTGAGCACCTGCTAATGAAGGAACTGTCTCTGGTTTCAGGCATCATCATGTACAGTCACCCTTACCCAGGAGTTCAAGACCAAGAACAAGCCACGTAAGCAAGTCTCTTTGGCATGAATACCTCCTCCTCGGTAGAACTGAGCGTCTTCACAGCATGCTATAGTTGGAAATCACAGTTGTAGTGGAGTGAATGTCAATCTCGAAAAGATGATAATATATGTCACTGACTGGGATGGAAGGAAGTTTCTGAAAGGGTGTGGAGTGGAGTTGCCAAATGGGGCTTGTTGCTGACTGATTCCCAGAGTCTGCCACTTTTGGAAGTCAAGTGCATAACTGCTCTATCATTTCAACTTTCCTGCATAGCATTTCTGTGCAGTTTCTATGCTTGAGAGCTACATATGTCTTGCATACTCCCTGTAAGCCCAGAATTTCTATCAACTATCCCTAGTCAATTCAGAAGCAGTAGAGCTACATTTATCCAGGGTCACAGTGGAGTCATGGAGGAGATTTTATTATCTGGCTGCCTTGCAGGGAGACTTGTTTGTGTCACAGCCAACTCTCCAACTGTTTTGTTGATGGCTTGAGTCATGACTCTTTCTGAAAGGAAAAGAGTTCCAGAAACTTATGTGTGCCTCCCTCACCCTGTCGTTCACTCTAGAATCAGCAGTTTAATCGATATTTTAGTGGCACTCTCTATCCTGATGGGCTACTCTGTCACCACCGCAAGCTTTGTCACCTACGTCGTGAGGGAACACCAGACCAAATCCAAGCAGCTGCAGCACATTTCAGGCATCGGTGTGACGTGCTACTGGGTGACCAACTTCATCTATGACATGGTAAGTAGTTGGTGACATTGCAAAGACATCGGTTTTATTTTTTATATTTACTTACCCTGGTTTGTTCAGCTCATCACCAAAGACACAATATTTTCTTTTAAAAGAAATCAGTTCATCTCCCATTCATCCAATGGTTGTTGTTGTTGTTGTTGATTGCCTTTGAGTCGAGCACTACTCGTAGCGACCCTAAGAACAAAAGGCCTGAAGCCCCTCTACAACAATGGACATTTATCAAAGTTCATAGTTTCTGGAGGCAAGTTATTTAGGAAGTGGATGCCACTCCTGCTCCCAAAGCTGTCATAGTATGTTATTGGTGTTAAGTGCCATGGAGTCACCTGTGATGTCTAGCAGTTCAAGATAAAGCCACTTCCTCCCCTCTCTGTGGTCTGATGGTCCAAGTCCAATTAACTTGTGTCAAATTCACCAAGGTACTGGCTAAATATTCAAGTTACTGGGTCCCAGCCAAAACCCATCAGATCCACGTCTTGAAGGTGAAGCCCGGAGAATATATATGTCCAAATGAGATTCCCTCATGATGGTTGAACACTCTGAAATTTGGGAACCTCTAGCAACAGTAAAGATAACAGAAACTAAGTAATATGGCCAAATAGCCTTTCCCAATGGTGCCAAATAATCAAGACTACAGAAATTTAATCAACTACTTTGAAAAATTCAAAGTAGCAGCCCCTGCTAGATGACACATTAGAGAAGATTAGTAGTGAAAAGAAGGGATATATTTCATTTATGGCTCTCTCATTTGCATAAAATGGTCCCAAAGTTCAGATGGTTTTTCTTGACTCCAAATGGACCAGGGTTGGCCAACAGCCCAGGATGGCTATGCGTTTGCCCGGTGATTATGCTGAAATCGTCTGGATTGTTGTAAAAGAGTTGGAGAGTAATTAACTCTATATCTGTTTTGTTAATGAATCTAGTGAGGTCTAAAAAGTGTTTGTTGTAGAAGTCAAATCTGAAAGAATGGTAATGACTGTTCTGGGCTTAATAGGAACTTTAATGTGGACTGACTATTAAGGATGATTAAAGTACATGCTTCTGTGAAGATCTCCTTGCTGCTTACAAACTCCATTGTCCTGCATTTGGCACGCATTCAGTTTAGGAGGCTTTCAAGCTCAAATTCAATTACCATCCCCTTCCTGTGAACATCCTGCTGCAAAGTCTTCAGCATGTAATATTTCTGTTTGCTGAAGAAATGCTGGCTTCACATATACCTGTGGTTCCAAGAAAATCGGGAAGCCTGCTGTTGTCACCGAGCGGCTCACACTGATAGCCAAGCCAAGCCAATCAACTATCAGAGAGAGCTCCAGCAGTCAGAATGAAATCAATACTTTGAGGACTGACTCTAATACAAGCTACCTGGCTGCCTTATCTCTGTCCCCGAACCTATGTTATCCAATGATCCCAAGTCTTTAATCCTGGAGGCTGGAACACGAGGGAAGGGACTCCTTGTATATTTATAGAGACTGGCTTGACCTCATCCTGGAGGAGAGAGATTCAGAAGTGAAATCAGTGTAAAATAAACCGGATGGGATAGGCAATGAGAGCATACATAAAAAGATATTTCTTTATATCTTTCTAGCTCCATTTGTTGTCCTTTTAAACTAGATGGGTTATTGATTTTTAAAAAAGGGTGGCCACTTGCCGTATTTAAACATTGTTTTACATATTCCCATAGGTCTTCTACTTGGTGCCTGTAGCATTTTCAATTGGTGTCATTGCGATTTTCCAGTTACCTGCCTTCTATAGTGAAAACAATCTAGGTGCTGTCTCTCTCCTGCTTCTGTTGTTTGGGTAAGTTGTTGATTAAGCAGTGAAAAGAAAGAATTAGGAGAATTAAATGCTCCTAACTGCAAATAGGACCTTGGTCTCATTAGCTAATTTACAATTGTCTTGGGACTTCATTTGACATGAGTGATAACTAGGAATAGATTACACTTGCTAGTCCATGGCTTGTAAGGTATGATACTTCTGAAAATTAATGCTGTTCTTACTAATAAACATAATACCTGACACTAATGAGCATTTATGGGCTGTCAGGTGTCTTGTCCAGCGATTTACATATGTAATTTAATTTCTATAAAATGGAGGCTTTAGAATGACCAGAAAATGTGATACATGTGAATTTGTGTACTGATAATTTATGTGAGTGTATCAGTGACTATAACAGTGGGTTCGAGAAAATCTAAGAAGGTGAGGATGGGGCAGGATAGGGCAGGATTCAGACTGTTATTCATAGAGTTGCTATGAGTTATAGTTGACTTGATGGCACTGTACAACAACATGTGACATTATATCACATGTATGTTTATTTTTACTTCTACATTTCTAGATCTCTAATTCCACACAGTATTATTGTTACTGCATTTAAAACAGTACCATCTGGTATGAGCAATGCTTAATGAAACAATTCTTTCTGCCCCAAATGCGTGCATGGTATTCATTTAGTCAGCACTTGTATGCACACAGACCCTCTTTTTTCTCTAGTGCCACGTCCCTGTGTAAAGGTTGCCCAAGCCTTCACTCAAAACAGGCAATACAGCTGCTAACCTATTTGACTAGTCTACAAGAATGCCATTTTTTTAAAAGTCAACTTCAAACTATTAGGTATATGCTAATTAAACTCTATTTCCTGATCAAATTAATTTTTGCTTGGGAAAATAACACCATGACCAGAGAGCAGTAATTTGTATTTGCAATGAGCTAGGAGTATTCAAGATTCCATAAAATATAGCCACTTTCTTAACTAGGGAAAAAAATATTAATCCTTTTTTTCTTAATTGTTTATTGCATTTCTTTATTTTCCTGTAAAACAGAGGAGTAAGAGAGAGACCTAGCTGCAGGTCTTGCCAACACCTTTTTAATTGGGATTTTTTTTTTTCATTTTAGAAACTCCTCTCTGTTTTTTTTTTTATTTGCTTATTTGTTTAGGGGTGAGAAGAATTAAGGCATGGTTTTCATTTCTGGCATTATTAACCTACAGGTATGCAACATTTTCTTGGATGTACCTGCTGGCAGGGCTCTTCCACGAGACTGGAATTGCCTTCATTACTTACGTCTGTGTCAACTTGTTTTTTGGCATCAATACTATCGTGTCCCTCTCGGTAGTATACTTTCTTTCCAAGGAAAAGCCAAACGATCCGGTAAGGCTCTTATTAGTCTGCTGAACTACTTTCAAGTATCAAGAGCTTCTTTCTGCTCCAAGCAGATTTTTACTTTTGCATTTTTTTAAAAGAGGAAAATGTAATTTATTTGATTAAATGTAGGAGAGCAGCATTACGTCTTTTAAAAATTCTTCTTTAGGCTCAGCCTGGTTTAAGGCCTAGTAGCACTTGCCCAGAGCCAGAACTTTGGCCTTTTGCTAAGACTGAAGTTGAGTGATTGGGGTGAAATCAGATATCTTTTATACCCTGCAGCTCACCCACAGCGAGATGATGGCCTTGGTGACTTCAGCAATGGGTGTAAACACAGTGGAAGTTGTGAAATGGGATAGGATCAGGCAAGGTTTCAATCTATTGTTCAAAAGAGCATTATAGGTCAGAGTCAATGCAGCAACACATAATGACAACAGCCCTTGAGTGGTGCGTTATATGTTGGTTGCATTGCTAAAAAAATGTTGGCAGCTCAAATCCACTACGCATGCTACAGCAAAGAAATGGGTACCTTTATCCCACAAAGAAACTAAACTGAAGGTAAGTCAGAATCCATTGAATACCATTGGGGCTTTTAGACATCAAACTCATTGCAGTCAATTTGATTTCACCTCTTAGTAGACTGACAGGAGGGCTAGAACTGCACCATAGAGCTTCTAATCTTTACAGAAGCAGACTAGCAAATCTTTCCCCCTCTAAATGACTGGATGGCTTAACCCAACAATGTGTAAGTTAACTAGAAGCTGCGTAATTAACTACAGCACCACCAGAATGTAGCCAGATTGCAAGGAATCACATATATCATACAACCAATTGGTCAGCCCGACTTATCAACAATTTGTTATGATGTGATGGTGACAGGGGGAATGGTTTCGTTTTATGACTATGAGTGAGGAATCATCTGAACATTCATAGAGGAAAAAAAGCCCAATTCATTCCCTTTCAATCATGTATTGGAGTCTACTTTACTCTAAGCATCACTTTTCATTCAGAGCTGACAATTATGTTGAGTGAGAAGAGAAGCACTAGCTGTGCCAGGCAATTGAATGAAAAAGAATAGAGCGGAAATGAAGTGAACTGGGGGGATAGACAAGCACACTCCAGGAGGAGAAAGAAAATTCATGAGGCGCCAAGTGGTTGGCCCCAATCGTGAATAACGTGCAAATGAGCCATTTGCTCCTCATTGAGATATGTTTTTGTTCGCTCCATCTCATTTCACCATTTTAGTCCCTCTCCAAGTAGGAACTGTCTTCGCCTCTGAAACTTTACTGTACTGAATACCTCCATCACTTATGCACCTCTCCTCACCCTATTCAGCATGCAACACCCTGGTGTTTCAGGCAATTAGAGATGAGATTCTATCTTCAGATGTGAGCCTGACATCTTATGAAAAATATAATCCTTTCTGCCTTTATTTTAATGGTAAATCTTTAATATTTGGTTAAATGTTTATATCTGAACTCAGCATGTTTGTGAAATAACACTCTACGTGAGTTTCCTGGGTTATAATATTTGCCTATGTCTTGTTTACATTTTTATTGATTTGCAGGAAACCTAACACTGAGTTTGATTTCTGTCTCTCCTATTTCAGACTTTAGAACTTATCTCTGAAACGCTCAAGCGCATTTTCCTGATTTTCCCACAATTCTGCTTTGGCTACGGTTTGATTGAACTTTCTCAACAACAGTCAGTACTAGACTTCTTAAAAGCATATGGCGTGGAATATCCAAGTGAAACCTTCGAGATGGACAAATTAGGTGCAATGTTTGTGGCTCTGGCTTCTCAGGGCACCGTGTTCTTTCTCTTAAGACTCTTAATCAACGAATGGCTAATAAAGAAATTCAGGTAAATATAATGGGGGTGGGGAAATGACATTTGCATCAATAATAGAACTCAATACACAGAATTCCAGGAGGGCATCAGAAGTTCAAGGTTTTACATTATTGTTGTATTTATGTGTTTCCAAGTTGGAATCGACGCATAGCTCAAACCCTTCTGTGGATTTTCAGAGACTATAACTCACAGGGAAAGAGATTGCCCACCTTTCTTCTGTGGATTTAAACTATGTGTCTTCTTGATTGGCAGCACAACTACCAATTAGGTTCCAATAGATTTTACATTAGTACTATGGAAATATTTTGCTCAGAAACAAACAAACTAGTATAATCTACCATTCATTTTATTCAGTAAATATTTATTAATCTTTGCCAAGTACAGTATGGCAATAGAGGAGCAATCTTAAATAAGCATAGTTAGAGGGATTATTACCCAGTGGTAGAAATAATGTGTACATAAACCGATGATACAATCTTTGAGTTTGGAAAGACAGAAAACACTTTTACAGGCAGAAAGGGAAAAGAGGATTAAGGGTGCAGCATGTCAGTAATGAGTTTGCAAAAGAACTGGAGATAAAGTGAGGAAAGTATCGTAAGTGCAAGAAGTCTATTCATGACCCAGCAATTCCATTTCCAGGAATTCTCCTTCAGAGAAATGAATACATATGCATAATTGTATATGTGTAAACTTATTATTTTGTGGCACTATCCCTGCTCCCTCAAAAAAAAGAAATGAAAAAGAAAAAAACGTCGAAATGGGCTCAATTTAGAAACTAGTTTAAAAATTGTGTGTTTATATACGTGAATAAAATACCTTTCAGTCCCTAAAAAGAGAGATACAGTTCTCTGTATATTCTTTGAGATTTCTCTCTTACTGCAAAGAGTAAAACACAAAGCTTAGGAGAAATATGTGCAGGTGTGTTATCATTTCACATTAAAATAAGATGAGATGGACTGGCATGGGGCATTTTGAGTCGGATGGCCATATGATATATTACTCTGGAGATGAAAAAGTGAGGAAAAATGGAGTTGCTTTCATAGTTAAAAAAGTCATT